TCCAGAGTAGGGATACCCAGCTCTATTCACTGGTCCGAGGATAGTAAGGCACTTTGAAGCGGCTAGGGGGCAAGGACTAGAGGGATTGCCGGCGTCCTGTAGAAGATATCCCCCATGCGACCATGAGTAGCTCCCTACCTCCTCTTCGTCTGGGTTCCTAGGCACGTCGACTACTTTGCATTCCCTTAGATCTACCGCTTGGTTTTGCTCGTCCCTGAATTAGTTAAACTGTCCACAACCGAAACCACAGCATCGTACACCGCCAGTGGTCCCCGCAGCCACTTCTTCCCCCAGTCGGGCGCTGTGAAGTTCTCTTCTATATAAACCGTCTCAAGTCGATACATAGCCCGCAGTAGCTGTGCCTAACGAATGCTCAACTACAACTACAACGACGACGACGACGACGACGACGAGGAGGACAGGCCTCCTCTGACCTACCGTTGTGGGTTTCACTTCCCTGCCGTTCATCACGACACTGGTCACACGTATTCCTCGCGACTTAGCGATTTCGACTATCTCCCCCATTTCCAATTTCGCCAGCATCATCTTACACGTACCACGCGCCCTACCATAACAACACCAGCTGAAGCCGCCTTCACGCCCACACTTCACTACCGTGCAATATCTTTCCCGCCGAGAAACCAACAACAAAAACTAAGTAGTGTGCATCCTGTTTCTGAGGATTTCCAGTTCCGTGGTACACGATTACGAAGGGGCAATGGTCTACCATAACAGGTGATGAAGAGGACAGGGATACCATAGCCTCACCCAGAAGGAGGTCCAGATGGTACTGGTGGTGACTGGGCTGGCCTTGCTACGGCAGATCCCCTCCCAGTGAGAAAGACCTAGGCTCCCGATAGAAAGGGAAATTCTAGTTCGACTGGTTATTACTTTGCGTGGAGGTGCACCGTAGAGCTGCTGCAGTTGAGGGTGGACAAGACCGAAGTGTGACCAAGCATACTACTACTACCACTACTACTACTACTACTACTACTACACACACTACTACTACTACTACTACACTACTACTACTACTACTACTACTACTACTACTACTACTACTAC